AAATTTACAATATTGCAGTATATACAGRATTACAGTGCAGGTGATTGAAATAGTCCAGTTCAATGCTCACTGTTGAGCAGACAGATGGCCATTTTGTGATATCACTTGAAAAATGTTAATCAACCAATAGTACGAACTACTAAGTACAAAGTAGCTACCTAATAGCTATTAAGTACATATATTTGCAATACATTCCCCCCGAACTCTGGTGGAATAGAAAAATGAAGTACCATTAAGTAGAAATACTTGAGTACAGATTTGTAGTTAAATGCAGTACTTGTCAGTATAGGTTGATCATAGTTAAATAAATGTTTAACACATGTAGAACAATGTAGAACACATGTTTAATACATGTTTAACACGTGTATAACAGTGTACAACACATGTTTAACACAGTCTATACGTCTGTGTCTTGTGAACCGTGGTGTGGATTGTTCCAGCCAATCAGATGAGCGCAGGGGGCGGGACCAACTTGTTGATAACTCTGTGTGCTGAGAGCTCTCAGTGCGCAGCCGTGGCCCGGGTGACGAAGATGGTGCTCATCAAGGAATAGTGAGTGAGAAGTGTTTCAAAAAATCTCCTGTGCCGCACGTACAGCGACGTTTCCGTCTGTCCGGGAGCTTTTTTACTGAAGTGCGAACGTGTGCGCTTCGGTCGCCGCCGTCGTCCGCCGGGTTTCACGTCTCTGCGGCCCGTAAAATCCCCTCTTTGCGCGGGGTGGATCGGGACGTGGATAACGGGACGCACCGGTCTTTTTTAGGCGTTGCTTGTGGGAGCTACCGTTAGCCCGAGTTGTAGCAGCGATGATTAGCTTCTTAACGAAAACGAGCTACGCGGAGAGGCTGCCGCGGTTCCACACAAACAAGCGGCATTTTCCGGTTATTCGCTGTTAGTAGGTGTTCGCGGTGTCTGCGGTGTGTTCTATCGATAAAGTGGCGCAACGGGAAGCTTCGCTCCCGTGAGTGACAGATTAAGGTTCCCTCTCCGTCGGATTTACCGTTAATGCTAGCTGGCTAAGTTAGCTGCAGCAGCCGGCTAGCTGCTAGCATGACAATTCTCAGTTAATGTGTCTTGCACGCACACTAACATTTGTTGCTAAATAATAACCAAGCAGCTGGTTGTTCAGCACGTAACCTTCGCGTATAACAAAGAGTCTGACAGGGATTATCCTCTAATATTGGCCCATGCCACATAGCAGGTGTATCCTTCAAGCTAGCGTGAGGTTGTGGAAGGACTTACTACTTTGCTGGTACTTTGTTGGCGCTAGCACGAGAGAGTTAGCCCTTTAAATGGATGGCCTAGACTAATAGAAGAGTAATGCTGCCTCGGTAACACAGTTAATTAAATCACTTCTATTGGGAGTGTACGGTTGTGCCTACTTTGTGTCTCAGCAGAGCTAGCTCTTACCATGTGGCTAACCTATATCAGCTGCAGAAAACGGTACCTGTTGTTGGGGTGGGCTATACCACAAAATCTGGTTTCAATGCCATGTAATACCAGCACCAGGAAGTCGAAACTTAAAAGTAGTTAACGTGCCAACATGTAAGTCATGATATATGTCATGACTTATGAGATAGATGCATTGTTAACAGGCCATTCGTGCTACTTTTTTTGATTACTTGTAGATAATTTGCCAAAACATTTGATCAACATTGACTTCACATTAGTTTATCAATTAACATTTTGTATTTGTTGTGTGAGATGTTAAACCATGCAAATACAGCAGAACACAGATACAATCTTGAAGCACCAAGTAGCTGTGTCATGTGATCTAAAATGTAATGGATCAACTGTTTTGTATGGAATCTGAAAACCAGTCCTTCAAAACTACTTAAATTGTCCTTTTCCAATTTAGATGCAGTACTGGTAATAGAACTAACAGTTTTTCACCTCTCTCATCAGAGTTACTTAGTGCTGTTACTAATTTGATGAGTATGTTATAAAATGATTCAGTTCACAGTCAAACACAATCTCAATAATACAAGAAGTTTTTCTAAACTTGTTAAGGTAATTATTAAATTATTCATGAGCCGCTCATTAGTTCCTTGATGAGTGTCTTGGTATAAACATCAGAAATCAGTGAAAATGTCTGCCACAACATTGAGGCTGAGCTGATTTACTTTAACTGTGGCACAATCTGCTCTTTAATCACGTATGGAGGAACTTATTAATTATCTTGCTCACAGTATATTAAATGAGGACATAGACCAAATCATGTCCTCACAAGTTTCATCTGTAAAATTAATGATTTGTGACTAATTAGTAACAATTTGTTGCAAGCTTATTTAAAATGATCTGATCATATAGAGAGGAGAACAAATATAAATGGACAAACATTTTGATGAGTTTTTCTTACTGGGACAATGTGTTAGCTTGTATCTTGAAACACTGACAAAAAAGACAAGTCTGTTTACTATCAGTGATGCCAATTTCATTTTCTTACTGCACTCAATATAAGTGAATAATCTAAGGAGATTCATCTGGGGGAGAGCTTTGTCATTCTACCATGGTGATCTGTGTGGTCGTGCTAGTAGGATTTTGTTGGCCACAAACTGAACAGTGTATGATAAATTCCTGCTGTAAATAGCAGTTTGGGGAAGGTAAAGGGTAGTGTCTTGTGTAAGATAAATACCAATTTATGACTTCTAATCTGCCATCAGCTGTGTATTTATGCAATCCTAACCTCAAAATCCTATATACACTTAAAATACAACTATACAAATATACATTTTGTGTTAATACCATATGTATCCTTAAGTACCTGCTTAACCTATGAACCCACACTGTAAATTGTCACTTACATAATAACGTCATAGAGTTGTCACTGTTGTGAAATGGAGCATTGCTTGTGATTGACAGAAACACATTATGCTTTACATTTTGATTTTTTAGGCCTGCAAGTTCATTTGTAACTAAGAGATCACCCTGCTAATTTGTTTTATTGTTAGTTTAGCGTTAAAACTAGTAATGTTTTTCACTTAATCCTATTAAAATATCTGAAAATTGTTAGAAAGAACTCATTATTTAATAAAGCAGAAGATGAAAGTGTAGAAAAGCAGCAAATCATCTCGTTTGAGTGGATGGAATCAGTGAATGTTTGGCTATCTTTTATCAAAACAGTTGGTGGTTCATTTGACAAATTGCTTAACTGATTATTTGTTTGACTAATCGGTTAAAAATGTACAAAACGTTTGTTTTTGTAGTTCTGCTATAGCAAAGAAAAAGCAAACTTTTCTAACAGCTTATTACCTCTAAGTCCGACACCATGGCTGCAGCTGCAGTCTGTAAAGGGGCCCACAGTACACTGAAGCTTACATAACTATAGGTAATCTGGAACACTAGAACATGTGAACTGTGACTAGTCAGCCTGTGACATATCATTCAAGCCGTTTTGCCCTTTAAATTCCAACAAAAGGATTTCCCGTGCAGCCCTTTTCTGACTATCAATATCTGAGTGTAAACAGTTGATTTGGATATATGATTAATTCCTAAAACTGAATAATAATGCTGCACATTGGAATTTATTTTCTGTCACTGGTTACATTGTGTCATGCATGTCTAACTTGATGAAGGTTTTACAACAATTGATGTTTCATGCTTGATGCCATTTTTCTAACACGGTGCAATCAATGACCTTACAGCAAATGATCAATAACTGATTAATCATTAACACCTCTAGTCGTACATGGAAGAGAACTGGATCCCATCTGGTGTCACTTCAGTGGTTGGAGGTTTGAGCCCTCCACAGACCTTCAAATGCTTTATCTCAAATTTGTCACTTTTACTCTCCTTTTGAAACTCCCACCCCCCAGCCTGTCATTTTCTTGTCTGTGAAGTGAAACTGATGCTGCAGCATTAATCACCAGTGGTTTCTGGTTAAGTTTTTATTTCATGCTGACATATGTTAGTCAGAGAAATTAGCAGGTGCATAGACCTGAGTTGGAGTGAAACCTCTCAGCTCTTCATGGCACAGGATTAAAACTCAATTCTGTGTACTGTGCTTGACTGGTGCATTTCAAAATCCTATGCAGGGCATGCTGTTGCACATTTTGCCAGAGCCAACATGTTAAATTCTGTCTGTTAGAAAAGCTGCAGTGTACACACCACTGTGAGCTAAAACAACAAACGGTGCACTCTGCCTTTGTTTTTCCAGTTGTTTCACTGTTCCTTCGGTTACATGACTGTCGGTGCCAGAATCTGGGTTTGTCTTTGAAAATCTTTTGTATCATGACAGCTTATGTATATATTACGATATTCTTCACATAACAAACACATGTAGTGGTTAGTATATTCCCCACAAAGAAAGTCATGTTTTTAAATCGTTGTCGATAAAATGCTTGTCACTCATACTAAAACCCTAAGATAATGGCCTCAAATAGTTTCAGTCTGACCAACAGTGCAAAACCCAAACGTTTTCATATTACTGTTAAATAAAACACAGGAAAGCAAATACCTGTCATACTTAAGCAGCCACAGACAAAAGTATTTGTCAGTATTGGTGCATCCTTAACAATACATTAAAAAAATAATATAATCACTGCTTCTCTCTTAATTCACTTTGTTAGAAAGATTTTACACTTGTATACATTACAGATCTGTCGGTGGAGGGACTGTCTAGTCTGACCTGAGTTTGTCAGGGACATATTCTCAGCCCCAGCAGTTAGTGTTTAGATTAAGTGTCGGGAGCTGAATCTACCGTATCGTAACAGAGGTTATGCATTGTGCAAAGAGGAAGAGGAGCAGGAGGATGTGGTCTTTCCTGAGATACCAGGAAGAAAATTCCTTTTTCTGTGCGCCTGTTTAGTGAATTCCATCTTACCATAAATAATAATAATTAATATCCAGATATAAGCTGGTCATATTTAGTACTCTGGTTATACTGCTGTCAGAGCAGTGACTGAATATGTATTTAACTTTGTAGAGGCCTGTACTATGAATTAATATATTCTTGCCATAAATACAAAGCCAGTCTTAGTGTCTTCAGTTGTGGTCCTCAGTATTGGAGAATCATTGCTGCTTTAAGACTGGAATATTTTCCTCTTTTAGCACAGGCCTTGTTCATATTTCCCCCAAAGATGGTCTGTTTATCAAGTTTATCAACAACCCCATGCCTCATCCATCTTAGTTTGGTCACATAGTGTGTCACTGACTTTGCCTGGATTCCAACCATAGATTTAGCTGTTTAAAATTAGCTTACGATTTCATTACTTTACATTCCTCAGATATTTTATCTCTGTAATTTAATTCATGAGTTAACATGTTTTTTTCTTCATTCTCTGCCCCACCTCTTCCTTGTTCTTTCTCTCCCACTCTCAGCCGTGTAGTGTTGCCGGTCTCTGTGGAAGAGGTGAGTATAACCTCTATACCCTCCTTATTTATTACATTACAAGTCATTTTTATAGTTATTTTCTTTGAATGCAGTCTTTCCAACACTAATACAGTGTACTCTATAGCAGTCATAGCTTTTAAATTATTTTCTCCTGTACACAGAATGCTCATTCTCTCAGGCTGTAGTACAGGACCAAGACAAATAGCCTTTGTCAGAGAGCACTGGTATTTGTGTGACAGGCTGGTTGTGGTGTTTGTCAAGAGAACTGCACTGGGGTGTGGACTCGGCCTGTTAAACTAACACTGTCTCTGTAACATCTCACATTTTCATACTCAGTTTCTTGACAAAGTATAGTCTGTTTAGCCTCAAAAACAGAATTTACAGTGGCATCACACACTGGACCAAATTCACAGACTTCTTTACTTGGCAGAAACATATTTCCCCCACACCATATTCAAAACTCTCGCCCAATGTCAGCTGGGATTGGGTCCAGCTCCTCCTGTGACCCTCAAAGGATAAGCATAGTGATATTGCATGGATGGATATTCAAAACATCAAACATGTTTTCTTTAGGCCTCCAAGTGCTAAAGATAGTTCAATTTTTATTTTGATATTTTGTGGCTCTCCTACAAGTGAATGTGGAAAAATACTCAGCTTTAATTTAAATATATACTTCACTGCCACCTTGGTTGCTAATGGAGTCAGAAATACTGCATCAAGGGACAGTTAGGCAACAAAAACCACAGCACTTGATAATCTGACACTTGTCATTCCCTTTACTACCTTAAAACATATGTATCTTTACCACAAGGACATATTAAGTAGAAATTTCCAAATTTAGAGACAGTGCAGGCTTTTTGAGTGGCTGTTAGTGGTCTTGTATCCTTGAGGCACCTGCATTGGCCTCAGGGACTTGCAGTCTTTGCCTATTCCAGCAAATAATCACAGGATTTGTCAGAGCTGTTATGACCATATATTCAGTGTGCGTTTTTCCTTTCTGTTCCCATTTCTCACAGTATCAAGTAGGCCAGTTGTACTCTGTGGCTGAGGCCAGCAAGAATGAGACGGGAGGTGGAGAAGGCATTGAAGTGCTGAAGAATGAACCCTATGAAAAGGATGGAGAGAAGGGACAATACACACACAAAATATACCATCTAAAGAGGCAAGTTTTTGAAAATACAGTTGGCTTTTTACCACATCTGAGGTCCTATTTCTATTTTAAGCAGCACTGTGTTCACATAAAAGATATTTTCATTATTGATTAATTTTCCATTTACAGTGGAAAAAAGGAAGTGGACTAAAGACTAAACTTAATATTTGTATTTATTATTTGGACAATGCAAGCATCTTTTGAAAGAGAGCTTTGACTTAAACTCACATAGAAAGTGGCCATATTAGCGTCATTTGAAAGCTTAGAAATATATCACAACAGCATGTGTGAGACATACACAATGAGTGATTGCAATTAAACACTCACTGCTAGTGATGCAAAGACGGGTGAACATCTGCAGCCTGAACAGAATTGAGGCAACACCTTTGTGACAGCCATAAATACTAGCTTTGCAAAGCTTGTGCTTAGAAAGATTTATTATTTACAGCACAAAGGAGGCATTTATTTCATTGTTGTCATCTTCGGCCAACTCCCCAAACAGGTAACATGAGTAAGTATGGCGCATAAAATCTGGAGTACTGGCAAAAGAAAGCAACATGATCTGAGCTCTGCCTCTATGTGGACGTGTTTGTTTGGTTCACAGAAAAACCATTAACAGTGTCGGCTGCCAGCTGTTAAATCTGTTGGTTGGCAGCCATCTGAAGAGGATGCATTAGTTGTGATGGCTACTCTGCATGGCAGTCTACATAAACAGCGATTTTACCTGACAGTGAAGACATGATTTCCATATTTCAGTTCATCCCTGATCAAATTTGAGACCTTCGTCCTTAATCAAAGGTCTAATACATTCAGAAAGAATATGTGTGAAGCAGTACAAAGAGAACTGAGGCTGCTTTCAAGACAGTAGGTTTTCCTCCTCAGGTGTTTCCTCATATTCTGCCCATTGTCCGTACATTGTATGACTGGTTCTTTGATATTGCAGGGAGTAGATTCTCATTCAATTCAATGCCACCGACAACAAAAAGAATAACTCATAACAAGTAGAAGTGATTCAAATGTTTTAATCTAGGCAAGACTAACTGGTCTATTTCAGGTACGCAGTCTGCTCCAGGCCTATGGATGTTCGATCCTATGACCGCATTTATACATTATTAAACAATTGTTGTCCATACTAACACTCCTCAAAACACTGGTCTTGTAAACAGGAAGCAGATTGTTTACTCCTGCAGAACATACTATGAACAGGAGTTTTTTGAGTAGTGTGGACACCATATGTAAATTTAGCAAAAGTGATGTGTTTTAAAACTAAAATGTGCGGATGTAGCTTCAGATCTTATGACAGGATTGTTGAGCTCATTGTCAGAATTCTTTCTCTGTCATTGCAGTAAAGTCCCAGGGTATGTGAAGATGATTGCACCAGAGGGGGCATTAGTTTTTCATGAAAAGGCTTGGAATGCCTACCCATACTGTCGCACCAGTAAGTTCATGCTGTATCAGTCTTGTCATATCAACTTTCATCCTTTTCTTGCTTGCACGATAAACATGAAAGTTCATAGTTGCATGGTTCTATAGCCTCTCAATTTTTTTATTCATATTATACAGTTAAATATTTTTCTCTTTGCTTATACAAAGTGAGAAGTGTTCCAATGTTTAGCAATTTCATCCTGATTTTTGATACTGATTCTCTTTTTCTTGTTTGTTTGTTTCATTTTTACCTCCCTCTGCTGCAGTCGTGACGGTGAGTTGTTTGTCAGTCTTTTTTACGACCTGGATATGCTAGAAAGTGAAACAGTGAAATCCATTCGCACGTCTGTGCGAAGTAAGGGGGGAGGGGGGGTTCACTCCAATGTCAACACAATTCATGGAGTTAAAAATGCAATGATTTAGGTGATTAAATGCTGGTTTGACTGGGCCTTTAGAGTAAGATAGGGTAAAAAACATTTTACTTTATCTGCTAACTACCACAAGGGTTAAAAATAGATCCAAGCTGAGCAGTGCAGCATCACTAGTGTTGTTTCAGACCAAATGACTCCTTGGTTAATTGGATTTAGCTGTAGGATTTAGGTACATCTCTTTGACCCTTCATTCATGGAGTTCTCTGTACTGGCTGAGATCAGCTGTCGATGTAGAAGTCGTATCTGATTTCTGGGAAATGACTTGAACTTCCTCTTAAAACCAGAGTAAACATATGAATTGTCTGTTTTCTCCCCTGCTTTTCAGAATGAGTACATGAAGGACGACTTTATGATAAAGATTGAGACGTGGCACAAACCTGACATGGGAACAGTAGAAAATGTAAGTGAGCAGAAGACACCATGTGGAGTATCGTTAATGTCTTCAGGAGAGCTCCATAGATTTAATATTACATTTCCATCAGCAGCAGAGGTTGCAAGATCGTGATTTATTGACGCTGTTATGAGTCACACACTCAAACATTTGAATCCAAACACTCTTCCTGCCTGATTAAGACCACTTTAAAACTATATACACTCTGTTTATGAAGCTTTCTCTCTGTATAAAGTATAATTCAACAATGTGGAACTGAAATAACCTTGATAACATCAGCAAGGTTGCAACTAATGATTATTTTAAAAGATTATCATTGGATTATTATTTTTAGACTGATTGATCACATCTACTCAATCATTCAACTAATTATCTCAGCACTCGATTTTTCTTGGATTTTAGAAAGTCCCCTCCAGTGCCACAGAAGAACACAGTGACCTTAGTTTCATGCCAGTAAACCACATTTTACACAGTCCCATGGGTCGAACAGGGTGATGCTCACCAAATAGGGACATAACCATGTTACAATAAAGCTGGATTTGAATTCAAATCTCATTTGATTCTCAAGTCAACACAGATTTGAACAAGGATGCCTTGTTGCCTGCGCTCTGAGCCAAAATGGTCTGTGACATCATAGGTTTAATAGTTTGTCTTTCTCTTTGTGACAGGTCCACGATCTGGACGAGCAGACGTGGAGGACTGTAGAGGTGGTGCCCATAGATATTGCAAACAAAGAAGAATTGTCCCCTGGGGTGAGTTCTTATTTTGGTCGTCTTTAAACGCCTTCATAAACCACTAAGTACAGTACTACGTACAGAGGTGACACAGACACACAGCCTAATGAGCAGGGGTCAGTAAATGACACCTGTGATTCACAGCAGGATGTCTCCACCCTGAGGAGGAGTATGGTCATTCATTTGGGGAGCAGGGATTGCCGTGCAAATACTTTTTTGATTCATCCTTTATTATCATGACTCTCCATTCTAAAGCTTCATAGACCAGTTTAGAATACTTCAGTTGCAGGAACTAGTGAAGATTGTGAAAGCATGTCTGAAGATGAAAACCATTGTTATTTGGATGATTTTGGTAATTTTTATCATGAGTGGCCCCCCTACAGTTGTAATCTGTCTCCATAGATGTGATCAGTGATTGCTGTTAATACTGCTGCTTATTACACAGTGGTCACTGGAGACTTCTAACACCAAGTCCAAACTGAGCTGATCAAAGAGCTGCCTACTTGTGATTGGATGTTAATACAAGGTCTGAACAAGACCTTTGTATGAACTCTATATTATTAATTTCCTAAATACAGGAATGTGTATTGTTGGCCTATTATGTAATTGGTTTACATATTCTAGTTGAATAATTAGGGTTTTTATACAGTCCATACATATATTTTGACCCCTGTCCATTAGATAATAGCATTGTTTTAAAAACAGCGAACAACATTATCTGCCTCAGTGATCATATCTTTAGCTTGTAGTAGTCATTCATTGATTCATGAATGAGAACCACTCAGTTGTGGTTGTACAGTGGTGCTAGAAAGTGACCAGCCTTCTCTCACAAACTATATTTGACGAGACAGCGGTGTGCAGAGAAGCAAACAGACAACAGATTGAGGCTTGTCAAGGTGATGCATGATGATACGAGGTTGGTACAACAAACCATCACCTACATGTTGGTACCAGCTAAAAAGGAGAAGCCAACAGTTGAATGTGTTGTACTTTGCATTGGTAATTCTGATGTTTGCAAGTTATTATTAGCATCAGAGTTCAGTAAACCTCACCCTGATATCATGGTCCATTACAATGCTTCACCGTACTCATTGCCCAACCCCAGTGTCAACAGACTTTGATGGGGACAGTGATGACAGAGAATTGGAAGTAAAGTCTGATATCTTGCTTTATGTAGCATGAGACCACCATGAAATAAAACTCCCTGCCAACTTCAGTAGCTGAAAGGGGGTGCCTGTCAGTCAGTGATACCTAAACAGTCGTGTTGCCTATGGTTTAGAATCTAAAAGGAGGCATTAAGCCATTTTCATCCAGGTGGGTCACAGTTGTCCCAGCGTTTCTTACACTAGCTCATGTACAGTAATGACTTAAGTGGATCAGTTGTGAGGTCAAGGCTTAATCTGAGTGTCCATCTGCTCCAGATCTTAACCACTGTGTCCCCACAGACCTGGTGGATTAAAACAGCAGAGTGAGCCTTGAGCTTGGGGTGGGGGTGGGATATTGGAGAGTTGGGGGTTGCTGTTAAAATAAAGCTTTGTGTCTGAATAGGAGCATGAACACTAGCTGGAGTCTGATTTAACAGCTTCAGTATGAGCAAGTCAGCACTGACTTGTCTAAACTTGTTCTCTTAATAATTTACCTCATTCATCTATGTCACACTGAAAATACAAAATCACATTAGATCCCTGTAATGTAAAGCTTTGTGATATTGCTATTTGTATTTAATAAGAAGGGGGAAAAGATTCTCCTTTTTAATCTACTGTCCTTTCAAATTGTATCCATAGTTTAAATGTGTCTTTTGCAGCCTGAACAAAATAAGTATTATGATTTGACCATAACAGTGCAACAAGAAAAAGCTATTTGGGGAAATGTGAAGTAGGGTTTGTCTGTAATATAAGATGAACTCTGGAAGAAACCACATAATCCGCAGAATTTGGAGGTGAAAGGTCACAGTGACTTTTTTGGCTCAAGAACATGTAATCTTAAGAACACCTTTAGAGAAGCGTTTCAAATGTTTTCACAAATGTTAGACTGAAACTGCACTGGTTGGTGAAGGCATACAACCGTGGGCTGTAATTCTAGTTCACACAAGCTCTCAGAGAACATCACACTGATCATGTGAAACTTTCTTACTTTTATCCAGATGATGAACAACCTGCTTTTCAGAAAATAAAAAATCTTTCAAGTTTATTTAAAATCTCTGAAGTGACTCTTATCTGTACATAACATCTGCTGCTGATGTCAACCAACTCCAGCAGCGTGACCCAAAGCACTGTGCAGAACTGGGTACATTCTGTTTCTCGCTGGGCATTAACGTTGTGTTTGCTTTTTATTCCTTCAGGACTACAAGCCAGAAGAAGATCCCACTCTTTTCCACTCTGCCAAGACAGACAGAGGACCTCTAGGCCCTGAGTGGAAGGTACCTGACACAGTAACAGAGAGCAGAGCTGCATGTTGAGGTCACAGTCCATCCTCTTGGACATTACTGAACTGTATCTTTTCCCTGTGTTTCGTTTCTTGTCCTTCACAGAATGAGCTGAAGACAGACTGTCCTTACATGTGTGCATACAAACTGGTCACTGTCAAGTTCAGATGGTGGGGTCTGCAGACCAAAGTGGAAAGCTTCATCCACAGGGTAACGTTCAATATCTTGTCACATCACATGCTTGCAAGTATTAATACAGTTAATCCATAGCCTACAGTAGCTTTTGATAAACATTTCAGTTAAGCCTGTGAAAACACTCAAACCAATTTTAACAAATCCGTTTTTATTTCTGTTCTTGACAAACATGAGCTGTGAGCATGTTTATTGTCAGAAAATCTACACAGCTTTACCATGATAATTCTCAGTGCCAGTAATCAGTGTTGTTTCTGTTCTGCACAGCAGAGGGAGACATGGTTTTGAGAAACATTTCGGCATCACTTGGGCAAAGCGTAGTGAAGTCAGAGAAGAGATAGGGGCTAGAGCAAACATTTATCAACTGTAAATGTGGGAAATAAAAATTCAGTCATGCCAACATGCATTTATGTTCCTTAGTTAAATATTAAGGTGATAGATGGTATGAGGAGACTCCCACATCACTCCTTCCTGTTATTAGTCTCTAAAACTTGTATAAGCAATGCAGAAAACATTGCTTTACTTCATTTTAATTCCTCTCCACAGCAAGAAAAGCGTATTTTCACCAACTTCCACCGCCAGCTGTTCTGCTGGATTGACAAATGGGTGGGTTTGACCATGGAGGACATCAGGCGGATGGAAGAGGAGACTCAAAAAGAGCTTGAGGAGGTAATTAACTCACCAAACACAACTATTCCAGTTAAACTCAGACTGGCTGTTTTTCTTCCTCGTGTGGTGACAAGAGTTCAAGGCAGAAATAAAAGAAAATGCAGTCGAAATATTAAAAGCTGCATTCCAGTTAAAGCTTTCTGTTGTGAATGACGAAATATAATCAAATACATTATCATTGTTTGTTTTGACCAGACCACTGGAGAAGACACAGGTTATCTGCTTGAATTAACTATTTTTACCCCTGAATTTCACATTAGATGCGTCAGAAGGGAGATGTGCGAGGCACCTCTGCAACAGAAGAGTAGAGGCCCATCATTGTAGGTCAAACACTAGAGGCAGGCTGAGTAAGTCTCAAAGGAAAATCGGTGGGACTGCATGGCTCATTGTCCACTGTTTTCATTTTCCACTCCTCATTTTCACCACTTCCTAGCTCCTCTAAACTGTGTTACCATATCTGGAATTGTCTGTTTGTTTTCAGATCTTTTGTGCTTCACATCTCTTCTGCTTTGTTGCTTCTTTCAATTGTAAACGTCCTTTCTCCTCACCCCAGGGTATCTTGATTAACAGTGAATTGTTGTTTGGAAATAAAGATGACATGAGTAGAGCTGAGTGCTCCCTTGATTGAGGTCATGTGCAAGTTACGTAAGGCCATCATTTACCCATAAGTAATGAAACATTTTTATTCAATTTCAATATACAGTGTCTACCTGTGTTAAAATAGCGATCAAATCAAAATGTTGTTGTCAAGTACAATGTTTTGTGGTTTTGTTTTTCTCTTTGTAGGATTTACTGCATCTCGTTCTCATAGTATCACACATAAGATTGTTATGGCATGCTAGTGGCTACAGGGGTCAGTCAGCTGGTTGCTCTGCTACTTTGATTGAGACTGAAATATCTCTTAAACTGTTTTGTGACTTGCCAGAATATGTTTTTAAGACATCCAAGCTCTAGTGACAATCAATCTTTTTAACTTAGGGAATTCCCTGGAAGTCCCTTCAGTGCCACATCAGATGGACATTTGTGATTTTTTTCTCCAGCTACAGTCTTGGAGGGATTTGTCTTAAAATTTGGTATTTTGATATTGGTGCCTCTAAGGAAAGGAGTCCGTTTTTTTACGGCATGCAGTCTGAATTGTGAACCAGCTCTTCTTTTCTTGGTTTGGGTTTAGGGGCAAAACTTTAAATCTATTAAAAACTTAACCAAGAGAAATTTCTTGCCTTTGTAGAAAGCAATGCATAATTTGTCGTACAACATCAGCATCTTGACCCACCATGCTGCCTCCCCCATTTACACACAGACATTAATCTCCTCTGTCAATTTATTGCTGTAACAACAATCATCTCATCTCATCCTGAACGCTTGTCTCAACTTCCTGAAATGCTTTTCCTTTTGGTTTTTTCTCCAGTGAACTGATTTTCTTGCATGTGCATGGCTTGTTGCATAACATATTTAATCATCTGAAAATGTTTTACGTTACCTAACTTAATACAAAGCTTTTCTCCCCGTCCCGCAGCTGCGTAAAACAGGTCCGATTCGAGGCACCAGTGCTGCTGCTGATGAGCAATGAGGCAAATCAACCAAACCCTGTCACGATGACGTCATCCGAGACACGTCCACCATGATGAGGAAGTGGCCCTGACGTCGCCTCTTCTCTTCCTGTCTCACATGATTCATTGGGGGGTTTGACAAGATTGGTTAACAGTACTGTACAGATCCTACCCCAATCACAAGTCTCCTGTTCACCCAGAAAACAAAAAAAAACATGGTTTTTGCATACATATAAAAAGGAAAAAAAAACTCTTTGCACAGAACGTAAATTGCCTGATATGTAATTGTTAGTTGATTATTACAATGGGCTTTGTTTTTATTCAGGTGTGTAAACCATGACTCAGAAAGTCAAGCCTTTTAAATTGATTAGAATGTTGTTTTTAGATCGACAGATTCCCACAAAAATTGATATAAGATGACTCTAGCAGGTATTGGACCATTTATCTCCCCACCCTCCCTTGTATTATAAGTGTCTCTCCTTTAATTCTCGTCTCCCCCTCAGTATTGTCTATACTCTTGTTCTGGTAAGAATTTGTCTAGATCTCCCAGTGTTTCACTGTCCTCTCTGTCTGGCAGTTGGTTGGGAATACTGATTTATTTTATTTTTGTTCTTGTTTCCCTTCTTTTATAGTTTTAATTTCAGAGGCTTATCTCTGTCTGCGTATGGTTTAAATTCAATATAATGCTCATGCATGATGGGTAATTCTTCGCTATAGTTTTTCCCCTCACATTCACATGTCCCCACATTTCAACCTCCCTCTGTCACAAGTGCATGTGGACAACAGCTACTCCTCAGTAAACAGTCATTGCATGTGTATAGTCGCTGCAGTGCAGCTGCGCTCAAGTGGATTGTTTGTGTTGATAAAGAGAGGGTTACCCCTACCCCCCCCTCTAGGAGAGTGTGTACAATACACCTGTATTGTGTGCATTTGCGTGCTTGTTTGTGTTATCAACTGCCTTCACTCTTTGGACAGAGATGGAGAACGTTCAGCTTAATATCGAGGCTTGTGAGGGGTGTGTTCACACAGCTGTGCTCTCACTCTGTAACCAGCCTGTTGAACTTTGCCTCATGCTCCATGTCCTATCTCCTTGGCTAGGGCTTTAACTGGAAGGCTCCCACTGCCTCCACAAAAGCTTCTTTCTTTTCTTTTTTTTTTTTTAACAAAAAACAAACGAGGATGAGTCCGTGCGTTGTGTGCATGAATCAAGGTAGTTTATTTTTCTCAAACTACGATTAACTTTCTCAATTGACAGAGTAAATGGGTCCAGACAGATCTGCTATTGTTTGGTGCAGCTGTGGATTCACAAGCATTGTGAGTGTATTGATAAGCCTATACACTGAGTTACAAGCTTTTCATCTACCTTAACCGCAAGAAAGTATAAGGGCAGTCTGAACGTTTCTTGACTGTTTCTGGTTAAGAATGAAAGTACTTAGGCAAAAGGTGAAATCAATTCGACTCTTGCAGTTCAGATTGGTGTTGGCTCATCTAGTACGAGCCTTCATCTGAGAGCAGGCGGCGACTTCACCCTGCTTTTTAAAGCATTGTTTCTTTTATTTTTCTGTGGTTGCATTGACTTGAGGTTGTAGCAGTTTTATTACAGCAGGAGTTGAGTTTAGCCATCTTTATTTTCGATTGTGTGCAGCTCCTGTTGGGCTCTAGGTAAAATATTTTGTGATGTTTTATATGATCATGTAGCTTAGTGCAGTTTTTCAGCCATTGTTGAGACTTTATTCAATCAGGTGTGTGTCTCCAAAAATCATAGGTTTTGATGTAACCTATCTGTGCGTGGTATATGTTGGACAGGTTAAAGGAGAGTTATAAGTGTACTTTATAATAGAAATGGGCAAACTGTACATAAAACACTGACTTGAATGGGATATTCACAGCTACTAGGCATTGTCAGGTATATCATTCAAATACTGTAACTGCTAAAAGTAACTTAAAGGAAGTAGTGACGTCGGAGCAGGGCGGCTCGGTGGACAGTCTGCTGTGTGTGTGTAACATGGAGTGAACTGTCCACGTGTTGTTACATATACTGTACCATGGTTTAACTGTACCTCATCCATGCTTACGAATGTACAGCTAGGAAATACAGAGTCAGAGTATGTGGGACGTTTTTGAACTGCAGGAACACAGACATGTTTCACACCTGCACAAGCATGACATGGACCCATTGTATCATCAATACACAAGGACAAATGGATTTACTAAATCTAAATTTGATCTGCATGCTCAACACTTTTGTTTTTTTTTGTATTTACATTTTCCTTTCTTTTCTCTCAGTTATTCCCGGTTTCTGTTTGATCAGTACAGTTTTGAGAAGCTCTTGAGCTGCATCAGGCAAAAAAGGGAAATCTTTCAAAAGGGCGGCTCCTCCTCAAAATCAAACTGGATTCAGCTTGACCTCAGACAAGGAGTGAAAAGCCTGGCTGAGTTTGACGATGACGAGAGTCGCCCTGTTATAGATTAAAACAGGCTGTGTGATGTACAGTTTTGTAGCATTACCAGTGATGCCAGCCAGGGTATGACTGTGGGGGGAGGGATAGAAGCTTAGGGAACAGATGGAGTCCAAAATACTGTTTCTTTATCGTAATCATGAATAAGCACTTGCAAAATCTACTGTTTTTTTCTTTTTTTCTTTTGTTCTCTTTTTTTCTGTTTTTGAAAGACAAAAATTCACAATGTATTCAATTTTCTCTTTTCTGATAAAGCAAATTTCAGGGGAAGTAGTAGTGAATGTAAAATAATTGGTTCCTTTTTTTTTTTCTTTTTCACAGCCATCAAGCTGTGACAGAAGGTCTAGACAATGGAACATAACAGAATATCTAATAAATTTGAACAAATAAGAGAATCATTGTGCTGTTTGCTGTTTGTGTGTGTGTGAGGAATGTGTCTCTCAGGGTGAGTATCGTGCTGTAACGTGGATCTGATCTCTGCATACTCACTCAACACTTTTCAGTGTTGCTTTATAGAAAATCTTCTCGAACACTAAAATAAGAGCCACACAGTGGTGTAAGATTTAGGTTATTAAACAATAACTATTTTAATTACAAACAATGTGAGAGGGAAAAAAGATAAGAGTGGTGACTAAAGTTACTGAACCTTTAATAAAATACACAAGCTATTCATTTTACACAATTCATGTAAAACTAACTCACTATTTGATTAATGGCCTATTTTAAACAAGAGTGTACTATAACTTCTATAAATCCCCCTTAAACAGAAATGTATAGATTTATATTGTTCACATTCACATGTCTCTTAAACGCTCAAAGATTTTTTTGTACAGGAAAAAAAACATTCAATCAATCGAATATGATTTGTATTTTTAAATCCAGAGTGTGAACCTTCACTGAATCTGTCGTCCTGAGGCACAAGGGTTTCTTTCTGTTTTACATGAAGCATTCTTACATAAAGTCATGGAATGGTGGTGGAATGTAACCGAGTATATTTACTTACGTAAGTACAAATATGAGGCTCTTATACTTATATTTTCTGTTAAGGCAAATTTATACTTACCACTACTTTTTAACTTTGCTTCACTAATGTGACATCTAGAGTCCATAGGTTTTGCACACAAATAACATGAAAAGCTTATAAACCATAATGCCTTGTTACACATTACTTCTTCACTTCAAGTGATTGATTTTAAAACCTAATATTTTTATCTAATCATTTTATGTGAGCAGTTTAAACTCTCCTTGAATGCAATGAATTGTGCACTATTGTGTGTATATATACATGTATATATATTATACTCATTTCTATTTTGGGTAGATTAACTTTGAGATGCATGATATAGAAATAATGTTATTACTCATCTATTCATATTACATTATTGTTATTATTATAATTATTGCCTGAGTGTATGTGAATGGACATTGGTGTATTTCATTGTTTGTGTGTGTTGTTTTGATGTTCACTTTTAATGTTGCATTGTTGCAACTAGAACTTCGGAACTGTCACTTCTGAATGAAAGGTGCTATACAAAGGTTAACATTTAAAGGTACAGCCTGTAGAATTATGTGATATCTAGTGTTGAAGTTGCATGTTGCAGCTGAACACCCCTCACCTCACCCTCTCCTTCCAAATGTGAAAAATAACCTGTGGTAGCCTTTAATTGTCATAAAAACTCAAAAGGTGTTTAGTTTGTCCAGTCTGGACGAATGTAAAAAACATGGCGGCTTCCATAGAGAGGACCCCCTCCATGTAAATATAAAGTATTTAAATATAAAGGGCCTTTTCTGGGGTAAAGAAAACTACAATTCATACAATTTAGATGAAATGAACTAGTGAAAACATCAGGATTATTCTACATTAGTTCCCTTTCACCTAAATCTTACACACTGGACCTTTAAGACAGACATTTGTGTCATATATAAGTTACATGTTAAATGTAATTATTAAATCTAAATGTAAAGGTTGAATCTAAATGTAAATATTAAATCTAAATGTGAATGTAAATGTTAAATGTAAATATTATATTTTAGATGTAAAAGTTTAATCGAATTTAATGTACATATAGATACAACATTTAACATCCAACTTATATATGACATGAATATTTGTCTGTTTGAGGGAAATTTGCTAAGAATATAATTGAAGTATGAATGAATTTTCACAGTGGGCATCCCATAACCAGACACATCAGCTGCTCCTGCTGATCACGTATATTTCACTTCTGTTTGCTGAAGTTGGCAGTGAAGTGAGCGCTGGACCATAACTTGTGCTGGAGTATTTTGCAGAGTACTTCTGAAGTGTTCGCAGTACTTCCTGCGGCTCGGAGGCAGAAATCAGCCCAGACAAAATCCTTTAATCGCTCCCGAGGCAGCCGCCACTGCGCATGCGTGCACATCTACCAGCAGGTAAACTCCACCATGGCGGCGAGAGGCCATGTGCAGGACCCCAACGACAGGAGACTCAGACCCATATACGGTACGGACTCAGTGTGGCGGTGTTTGTGTGCGCGGAGGTGGGCTACACGGTGTTGTCCTGTGTACGGGCGCATGTGTGCGGAGGGGTGGATGGTGTCGGGAGTCGGAGTGCAGCGCTGCGGCCCCTCCAGCTCAGACCGCGGGTTCTGCTGCCTGCAGCGCCCGATGACAGTGCACCTTACCCCGGTCTGCCACCGAGCCAAAGGTGGCTCGCGGGTACCGCGGGCGGAGTCTGGTGAAAACCGGGCTGTCTCCTTGTTCAAGCCGCAGACCTTCCCGGTGGTGTCCCGTGTCCTCCGGCTCGGAGAGGTTTCTCCTGCTCCGGCTCCTGGTCGCTGTTTGACAGCTAGCCTAGCATGCTAATGTGTCAGCTAGCTAGCGGACATGCTAAGGCTTTTAGCACGTCGAAAAGTTAAAAGTTGTTTAATTGTGAGAAGTGTGTTGCTGTGGCTCCGGTGGACGCGTGTTCTCGCGTGCTCGTGTGTCCGGCCCCGGTCTGAGTGTGTAACCGCTTGTGTGTCCTGCTAGCTAAATGTTACAAGCTAAGCTTCCAGTTAGCATTAAGCATTAAGTTAAAGGACAATGCTCCAAGCTAACTCCGGTATATTAGCCTGCTAGCCAGTTAGCATAGACCTGTTAACAGTGGTTGTACACTGTGCTGTCATATAATAGAAATACCAGATGATCACAGGGTTAACTGTGTATGTGAGTGTATGAATGAACTATAAATAACCTCATGTGTTCACTCTCCAGAGGTGGAGCACAGTTATCAGCTAAATGGACTGCAGTTAATTCATTGCATGCTACATGGGGGCATTCTGAAGGACTCCAACTAATGATTGTTTATTACTTATTAATCTACCAGGTATTTTCCTCTGTTAACCTTCGTCTCTTAAATGTCAGAAGGAGAAAAGTTAAGTGTCTTGAAACTTTGTTTGACAAATAGTGAATCTAATTACATTTGTGTCACGAGTGATGAGCTGGAAGTTTGACATTTTCTTCTATATCTAAAACTGTTAATTCCACAAATCCACTAGCTGCCACAATTTAAAAAAAAAATAAATTATAATAATAATTTTTCAAATGCCAATGTGACAAAGGTTTTGTTTTATATGAAAAACAATATATCCAAATGTAAATCACATCTAAGAAGCTAGAAACTGCAAATGGTAATATATTGAAAATTGACTTAAGTGGTTAATAGATAATCCCAGTAGTAG